GTTGTCAGTTCGAGACCAGCCTGGGCTACAAAGTGAGCTCAAGGCCAGCCTGAACTGCATAGTGAAACCCTGTCTCAAAAAGACAAAAAAATAAAAAAATTTTAAAAAAGAAAATATTTATTCTACCACCTCAATACAAGCACCAGATAAAGAACTGAAATATTCAAAAAAACTGCTTCTAGAAAAAGCTAAATTTATTTGCTGTTAGCTGGGATAACTTTATCTACTGACAGGATATTTGTGTAGTTCCCACACAACCTTCCCGTAGAGTATTTTGGGAAAGAATCCAGGAATTTCCACCCATCCAAAGTAAAAGTAATAGTCACATCTTCAAATGTTACTGCCATCTGGTGAAAGATCAGGCTTTCCAAGAAGAAACCAAGAAGACAGACAAAAAGATAGTCAGCAGGTAACATACGTGGCAAAGAAAAAGAACAAACAGGAAAGAAAAAAACAACAACAAGGAAGAAAAACAAAGCATGTAAAAAGAGACATACCATATGTAAGTTAAATGGCTAAATATTAATTTCCCACTCCAATCTGTGTTAACCGCTCTGTAAAGCTGTATTTTCAAGATTATGATTCTTCCTCTTTTGTGATTTAGCCCTTTATTTTGGAGGAAATTCCCAAATGAGTTTAATCAAACCTATTAATATTAAGCCTGATGAAAAAAGCAAAAGTGAGAAACAGGCAAGGTCCTCTTCAAGAGGCACCATTAAATTTAAAAAAAGAATCTCCAAGCCTGATTAAGAAAAATCCCAGGAATCATTTCAATAATTGTGTATCTGAAGTGTTCATTAACTCCCCTCGCAATTGGCTGTATATAGAATTGTACAGCAAAAGCAAAATTTACTCAGAATTCAGCTGGTTTCTTGTTCCTAAAACTGATTTTTTAAACTTCTACTGCCTTTGTAGGTAATCTTTTCTTAGTTTTCCTCTCTGAAACTGTCTTAGGATCTTCTTTCCCTCTGATCCTTTGGGTTAGAACTTTTTCCACTGGTTGTGTACAGTAGGAATCACAACTGAGATTCCTGCTCATCAGCACTATCAAATTATCTCATTTCTCCCTCTCCTCTGATTTCTTTCATTTAAAACACTGGACTTTAACTAAGTCACCTATTATCATAACTATTTTATTAGATGGTCTCATTGCTTCATCCATTTTTTTTGTTTGTTTGTTTGTTTTTTGTTCTACTACCTGGGAGTTTATCTTCCAACTTTTCCATTGAATTAGGTATTTAAGCAATTATGCTTTAATCTAAGAGGTTATTATGTAGTAATAATACTCTAAGAAAGCACAATAATCTAAGAGAGCAATTATGTAATACTCTAAGAGATTATTTTCTATTCTCATGGTGCCTTTCCTTGGTGTCCTGTTCTAATCTTACAGATACCTCTAAAACTTTTCTGAAGATATTAATAAGTTATATGTATACAATATTTTCTTTAATTAGTACTATTTAGAATTTATATGGCATTCTCTTATATGGCCTGTATATTTCCTTAGTCACTGACCCACCCCTCATGTATCTTAATTTCTCAAGACTGAAGATTTTAAGATTTATAAAGATTACTTAAATTAAGATTATTTCTCAAACGCAATTACTTTATCAGTCGTATGATTCAAATGACAGAAAACTGTAGGAGTGCTCTCTAGTACACAAAAACAGTATCTAACCTCCTATTTAAGGGTGAATAATTGTTTGCGTTCCAGCTTACCTATTTATGTAATTGTACCTTTTTTTTGAAATAAATATACCAAGTACAAAATATACCAAGTACAACTTCCAAAAAAAGTACGAGACAGTAGTAATAAAAAGTGAAGAATGTGAAAATTCAGCAGTATATGTTCAAATATACAGTGGTTTAAATACTTACAAAATAAATTTAAATATAATAAATCTGTATTTTACACATATAAAATTAATATTTAAGAAGTATGGGATGCTCAAAAACCCAAATTACTGGACTGAAAACAACAAAAGTTGGTATCCATGCAGAAAATAAGTGAATTAACTAGTGTTTCATATCACAACAAAAATGCAATGAAAATAAAACAATCTGTCATTTTTAGCTTGTTTTGTGATTTTTACAAAGATTTAAGAATGTCCCTGAAACACATACTAATGAATATGAGTCTAGAGTTTAAGAAGCTCTGCACTATCGATTTGCTTTCATTTTAATTCTTTCTATTTTTAAGTCTATCTTCCTTCCTCTGACTTTCTTTTTTCTTTCTTTGCTTTCTGTTTTTGAGACAGTCTTGCTATGTAGTAAGAGCTGGGCTCTGACTCACAGGGATCCTCCTGCCTCAGCCTCCCCAGTGGTCGGGTTACAGGCATGTACCACCCTCCCCCTGCTAATTTTTATTTTCAATTCATGCAGGACTTGATCACTACCATGCCCTGCTTTATCATTTCTTTTAAAATTGCCTCCTGGTTTCATAAAAGAACTGCACATTTCTTGTAAAATAAAACACCAACATCTAGGTAAATGGATGCACCTTGAGACCATACTCTTCAATGAAATAAACCAGGCACAGGTGTTTAAATACCACATCGTCTCTCTGGTGTGAGAAACAGAAAATATAAATAAGGACCAAAATGTATAATAGGCATTGTGAGATAGGAAAAAATGTTCAAATCGGAAAGGGAACTAGGGAGAGGGTAGGGGTGAAGGAAGGGGAAAAAATGGAAACAAATGTTTTGTAAATGAGGGAAGAGGCGTTGAAGGGAGGGGAGGGGAAAGGGGGAAAATGAATATGAATCTAATTTGTCTTATGAAAAATAAATTCATAAAATTTCTAAATACTGAAATAATACAAGTAAAAATTAAAACCACTTCCCCTATATAATTGCTAGTTTTCACTATGTTCTTTTTGACCTTCCATTCATATAAACACTGATTTTTTTTTCTTAACAAGGATAAATCTAGTATTTTAAACCAATAATGTAAAAGTACATGCCAATACAATTAGGCACAATTATCTGTAAAGGGTATGACTGCACATTTGGGAAAACCAATAGAATCAGCTGAAAACCATTAGCAGGTATAAGGGAAATGAATGTCCATAAAATTCTACTATTAAATTCTACTATTGAATGTCCATAAATTCTGCTATAAAGGGAAGCATACACTGCTGTCCCAGACAACATGTACAACTGCTGTAATAATTAAAAGTTGGAAAAATCCAAAAGTCCAACAACGCTAGAATGGATAAACTGTTATTCATACTGTAAAATAGTCTAGAGTAATGAAAACAATCTATAGCCATGTGAATCAACATGGATGCATTACAAAAAAAACCTAACATGCAAAAAAGCCATTTATAAAAGAATATATTCAGTGATTCCATTGTACAATGTTCAAAAATATTAAACAAGTCTGTTTGGAAATGCAGACCTAGTAAGTCAAAACTATAAGAATAAAAGCTAAGGAAGTAATGTGACATTTAATGTAGTGATTATTATTTAACGTATGATTACTCCCCCTCCAGAAAAGGAGGGAAACACTGCTTTAGAATGGGGAGTACCCACACTATTACTATATTTTAAATTGTACAAAGATGTTTTCATATATTCTTTTGCATATATATAAACATAAAGTTAAAATTAACATAAAATTCAATTAAATAACTCAAATATATTGCAAATTGTTTACAAATGATATTTACAATAGCAATAAAATATAAAATCTTAAAAATACTTAAAGCCTGTATCATTTTAGATTTTGAGAGACAAAAAAGGGTTGAAAAGGTAGGAAGACCTGCTTCATCTTATGTAGGAAGAATATATAAAATTTTTCTCCCACTAAACTTACCTCTATTTTCAAATTAAGATATTACCAAGATTTTGATATGAGAGTAGAAAATATCTGACAAACTCGTTTCTAAGTGCCTTTGTGAGAAAAAGAAAACTGTGAAAGAATAATAAAAAGGACAGTAAACTAATGGTGTCTTACTCTTTTCATTGCTGAGACAAAACATCTGACATCCACAAGTTAAGGGAGGAAAGGTTTATTTTGGCTCACAGTTTGCGGAGGTTTCAATCCATAGTTGGCTGGCTCCAAGGCAAGGTGGCAGCATGGCAGAGGGGCACCACAGAGGAGGAAACAGCCCATGGCAGAGCAGGCAGGAGGCAAGAGGCAACAAGCAGCAAGCAGCAAGCCGCAGCAGCCTGCCTTTTTTCTATTCCATCCAGGTTACAAGCCTTTTGGGTGGTATCACCTACATCCAGGGTGGGCCTTTCCATTATCCACACTAAAACTATCGTAAACCAGTTAGTGGACTAATTCAGTACCACACACCCTTAATTCCAGTATCACACACTCATGGTCCCACCACCTCCCCAAAGTATGAGCACATAGGGGGACATCTAAATATAAGCCATAACAAATGGTACATGAAAACTTTAATAAGGCCTCTGTAAGTCTACCATGGGTTTGACATAGGACTACAGAAGATCAACAGAAAAGACTAAAAATCAGGAAACGAACCCAAGCACACAGTGAATTTTAAACATAAGTGTGATATCAAATTTGTCAGGAAAAGGTGGCTTCTTTAATTAATTTTTTTAAAATTTTTTGGTACTGGGAATCAAACTCAGGACCTTGCTCTTGCTAGGCAGGCACTTGTGCCACTGAGCTATATGCCT